ACAAAATATTCTCAACAGAAGAATGAAAAAATCATGGAAATTGTTTGAAAAAAAATCCCCCCAAAAACAGAACAACAAGCTAAAAAAAAAAAATAAACAAATAAATAAAAAAAAACACCACAGAAGAAAATGAGAAAAAGAAAGATTATTTACATGGAATTTAAAAGACAGATAGAAACTATTGCTGGGGAACATTCATATATATATATATATATATATATATATATATATATATATATATATATATGATTTACGCAGAGGAGCCCTGAAAGAGAAAGACAATATTTTATCAGTCCATTCTAGAAAAGGTTCGTCAGTATCAATAATATCAAAGCGAAAATAATCAAAACCTAGAAAAGCAGAAAATATGGACCTCCCCGCCACCACAAAAAAAAGCATATGATAGACCACATCATAACTGAATGCATCAGGGAATACAAAACTAGATACGACAAAACAGTCACATTCCAGGAATATTGCAGCCAACTTGGATTCGGCCATGTACGAGGGGGCGCTGAAAAGAGTACGAGGGGGTGCTGAAAAGAATGTTCTCGACCTAAACAAGAACGAGTTCAAAAACAAAATCCCTTATGTTTGGTCATTTGCTCAGATTTTGGAAAAAGGCTTCGGGCGGGAACTTTTTAACATATTCTCACCGTAGAAACTGTCTTAGTAAAAAGAATATTTTGAGAATTTGAGAGACAGACTTGAGAATCGTAAACGACGGCTTGCAAGATTGTAAATGTGACTCTGTCAACGGGCAGCTCTATGAAGACAATAGAAAAAGCAGAAAATGAGAAAAAAAAAACACCAGAACCTCGCCTAGAAATTCTAACCCTGCTTGCCACTGACTAGAATCAGATCTTAACTCTCTATATATTCCTGTTAACCTCACTTGAATTTGTGTTCAAGACCCACCCCTTTCGCTTCTCGCAACTGCAGTCAATCCACTTAAGTATTAGTAGAATTTACTATATGCATTATTTACGCAGTTGCACTTCTCTTCCCACTCGTGTGTAGGACGCTTTTTTTCCGCTGGGCGAAAAAAAAAAAAAAAAAAAAGAATTAGTTCAAAGTCACTCCCATTAAAGTTTCTTCTTCTCAGTTGTGTAACCATAAAAATCGAATGAGAGAAGTTTCCATTTAATCGTGGGGAGGCGTTTTTATTTGTCTATTCTTATAATCTTCATCTTTAAGGATGTGTGGCATGAATTAGTGTATGGTTGGCTAAGAGGGCAGCAGAAGAGGGTCGAATGAATCTCTTTCAGAGTTAATTTGCGTTAGATTCGAAGGCGAGTCTAGTAATTGAAAATGATTCAATTCACTGAACAAAATCTTAAGAATGATTAAATATATTTGAGGTTTAAGAGACGGAAATTACTTACTGTTTTTCGGAGAACAACATTTCTTCGTCGTACCTTGAACCTAATCCTATTTCCTTTCACTTCTACTTTTGGCATTAGGATTTGTTTTCACCTGAAATCAGAAAGCACAGGTGATGCGTAAGATTACAATTCATTGTTTACTACACTTGTCATGACAAATACATAAATTGGAAGAAAAAGCAAATTTACTTTTGGTCGGAATTCAGCTTAGTATTTGGAAAACCGACTTTTCTTTTTTCTTCTCTATAATAATTCTCTCATCATTCTCCTTTTACAAATATGTCTTTCGCCTTTTCGTCGTCTTTTAAGCGAAAATGGCTTAATCAGTTTATGAAATAAAACATCAAGAATTTAAATAAAAATTAAAAAATATTCCTAGTAGAAATGTTTGTTTTATTTTGTTTTCTCAAACGCCATTCAAAGCATCGACGCAATTGAATGTTTTATTATTTTGCAATTTTAAATGATTGAAAAATTAATTGTAAGTTTTTTAGGTCTTAATTCGTAAAAAAGAACCTCCCTAAACGCCAGAAACTAATTTAGAGGCATTTGTTTTTGTCTATGTAACCCCCACTCTCTTTCACTCTACATATCTCTCTACATATATATATGTATATATATATATATATATATATATATATATATGTATATATATGTATATATATATATATATATATATATATATATATATATGTATATATATATATATATATATATGTATATATATATATATATATATATATATATATGTATATATATATGTATATATATATATATGTATATATATATATATATATATATATATATATATATATATATATATATATATATGTATGTATATATATATATGTATATATATATATATATATGTATATATATATATATATATATATATATATATATATATATATATATATATATATATATATATATATATATATATATATATATATATATATATATATATATATATATATATATATATATATATATATATATATATATATATATATATATATATATATATATATATATATATATATATATATATATATATATATATATATATATATATATATATATATATATATATATATATATATATATATATATATATATATATATATATATATATATATATATATATGTATATATATATATATATATATATATATATATATATATATATATATATATATATATATATATATATATATATATATACGATATATATACATACAGACATATATATGCGTGGCTATATGTTTATAAAGATTGTGTGTGTAGCCTCGCTGTTCAAAACTCTGAATAGAGAAGTGGATCCCCCATAGAGAGAAATAAAACCCAGAAAATTAGAATTTTGTGCCGCTGGCAGAATTTGGTCCAGCACCAGTGATTGGGTTCTTGGTTGGCCGCATTCTGTGAGTTCATTCAACAAACTTCCATCTCCACATGTGTTCTCTGTTATTATATTACAGAAATCTTAGGGGAAAAATATATATATATATATATATATATATATATATATATATATATATATGAGAGAGAGAGAGACAGGAAGAATGAAGAATGAAATTAAAGAGAATGTGTAAAAGAGAAATGGTGAGTGGATGTAATAACAAATGTCTGCTTCGCTCACCCACACAAGAGTAAGGAAAAAAGAAAGTATACTAGAAATAAAAGCTGACTAAATATGAAAAAGAAATTAAGTGAAGAATTCTCCATATGAATGTTTATGTGTGTATGTGTGTGTGTGCGTGTGCGTGTGTGTGTGTGTGTGTTATTGCAAAGGACCCACACATTTCTACAAATAGAATCGCCCTTTCTTATTAGTAAAAGCTTATCACTTGTGTTTTTATAGCACATTTTGTCGATGATGAATCATAAACTAATGGAAACATAACAACAATTTCATGGAAAAAATCATTTTAAAAAATTAAACGTTATTTTAAATTCGATTAGTGAATAAAAATAACAAATTAAGTAATTGAACTTGAATTTCTTACTTTTACTCTGGCCAAGTTTTCTAACTTTCTCTAAATGTTCCTTTTGTTTAATACTTCAGAGAATGAAAAGTTTCATTAGGAATTTTGATGCTTGGTCATTTGGCGTGATTTTGTAAAGAAGTGGATCAAGCAGAGAATTTTTTTCTATGCCTTATATATATATATATATATATATATATATATATATATATATATATATATATATATATACACACACACAAATGCACAAACATATATATATACTTTTTTTAGTGATCCGGTCCGGGTCTTAGAACGCATATATCCTGACGCGATCCAAGCTGGTTGTTGACAACGTTTTTACGCTGATCTCGGTCAGTCAGTCGTAGTCTCGCAGCGATGGTTCAAGACGTGGTGGGTCCTATATTAAAGAAAAAAAAATTCAATACAAAAAATAAAACGAGAGATTTGAGGGGTTAATCTTCAGTTGGTTTATATTGCTCTTGGTACAACAAAAATGAAGCCTACCCGCGTCAATTTCTATAGTGACACCTGTCTAAACTTTTGGGGGAGATGGGTTGAAAGTTTTGGAATCAGAAAATCTGGTGGTAGCTGATGTGGATTTTAGAGGCACTCGATGCGGGATCTCAGTCCAACGTCTCTGAGCTTCCCAAAATTATCTGTTTATATGCACTTCGGCATAAAACTGATGCGGGACCAAAGGTTTCTAGTGATTCAGTGATTCCCCGGTTTTCATTAATTCCAATAAAGGTTTTCTTTGTTCCATATTTCTGCTTTCTTAATTAACTCTCCAAATTTGGATAATTATCCACCTCCCTTTGGAGTATTCACAGGGATTGCTCCTCCCTTAACTACAACCGACTTCACTTCACATCTCGCGCCGCTACTCCGTACAGGCGGGGCTAAATTTTGCCACTTCTTCCTTCACTGTATTCTAAATCTGCCGAAGTCTCAGGACTGGCATAATTGACTTTGTGACAAATCTAATTTTTAAAGTGCGTACAAAGGGTGCGGTTTATTCTCCTCATTAATTTCCTGACTCTCTTTCCTCGACCCACCTGTCCAGTAAAAACACAAATCACATCACCTTCTTATTTTAACCTTCCGAGCGATAGATAAAAATTATTTCCCAATTTATTTTCGTCAATGAAAAAATATTAGTTTGCCTAAATTGTCAACAAAGAAATGCATTGTTTTCCATCCTTGGGCCGGTCACCGTCTTAGCGAAAACATAAACCAGATCATCTGCCTGTTATGAAGAATCGATTTTCATAATCCCAACCTACACAGCAGATTCATTCTCTGTTTTTATTTGTCAATTCCGTTTTGCTCGTCTGCTTATTTTTTCGTCAATGAAGTTTTTTGTAATTTCCCAAGAGAGATAATGCCATTTCCCAATTAGCTTGATACGAATGCCAGAACATATATATATATATATATATATATATATATATATA